CGCCTCCTCGCACTCGCAACTCTACCCGTTCTCCCACCACAGCGATTCTCAGCTAACGGGCAGCCGTACCAGCTGCAGCACAGCGACTACCTTGGCGGCAAGGGGCTCGGCCTAGCCCGCCTACACACGCCGGCCGGTGCGGTGGACCTTTACGTCTCGCACTTGCACGGGGACTACAGCCGGGCGAAGGGTTCAAAAGACCCTGATAGGTGAGAGCAATCGGCCAGCGTGAATATTACCCGAAACACCTGCTGTTGGCCTTGGGATCAGAACACACAGAAATCGTGCCCCTTTCCAAGGCGCCCCGCTCGTCCTGCCCACCCTTTTGGTCAGATGTATACTTCTTTAAACCCACTTTCGACGCGTCGGTTGCGTGTGTGTGTGTGGGGGGGTTCGCACCAGGGCGGGGAGGGGGGGGGTGTTACGCGAGCGGGGGCGGCGCTTGTCGTCCTCGACGTACGTGTTGCTGTCCTCGGATCGACTGATATCATTTCGTTTTTCTTTCATGTCTTGTTTTGCGGTTCGGCTGTTGGTGGGTTCGGTTTCCAACACACACGCTTGCCCCTTGTCTGTGTTGCTTGTTTCGGTTGACGTGAAACGTTTTCCCGTTCTTGGCGTTCCTTGTGTTATGATGACAATGATGTTTTTCCGAGGGCAGGTACAAGTCGCACAGGGTGGCGCAAGCGTTCGAGGTGGCGCACATCATCCGACTCACTTCCAGAAGCCCTCTGGTTTTGCTCTTGGTGAGGACCCCCACACCCAAGCCGCACACCGCCGTGCGGTACGATAAGAGAGGATCGCACGAGCACAGACAAAGGGCCAAGAAGCAAGTGGTAGATTTCAGTAGCCTGGTACTCCTCGACCCGTTGGTTTCCCCCTGTGCTCACCCTTCTCTCACCCGTTATCCCGTTGGTTGCGGGACCCTATTTTACCGTTGAAATAGTCGGACCTGAACGCGGGCCCCGGGTCGATGCCGTACGGGCTCCAGCGCAGCGTGGCGGGTCTGCTGGATGCGTTTAGTGAGGCTAAGCCCGACGAGGAAGGCTTCACGTGCGAGGCCACCGACAACGTGTTTTCCAACGGAAGGTGTGGGTGCCTACCTCCTGCACCGCCTTCCTTGTGGCCGCGGGGGGGACGCAGAATGCCTCAGGAGGCTAGGGGAGGTGTGCGTGCCAACGGTACGGCCTCCTTCGTGGCCGCAGGGGGGGACGTAAAATGCCTTAGGGGGAGTAGATGGGGGGTTGGGTTGGTTGTTGTATGTTTAGCGCTCAAGGAGGCCTTGTCGATCTGTTGACGTTGGAGCGCCCTAAGAAGGGCCTCATAAGCTATGGTTTGCGAACACGGAGTTCTGTGTTGTTTCTGCCGTGCTCTCAAGGCAGGAAAGGGTTGTGTCTGAACCGAGGTTGGGGATATAGAGTTGCTGCTGTGAAGCTCGTGCACGTGCTGGGTACAGCAGTAGTTTAGAGTTGGAGTCTTGGCTCAGATTCTCGCAGTTATTCCAGCATATCTCACTTGCGTATTGAAGTGTTGAGAGGCACGCGGTATGTATGAGAATCGGCATCTCCTCGCGTGTTTGCCGCTGATACCTTCCCTCTCGTCCTTCGTGACACTCGCCCTCAGCTTCTGCACCCCCCACACACACCCTCTACGACACGTTACCAACCGCAGGGACCCGCCGGCGAGACTGGACTACGTGCTCTTTAAGGTCTTGCCGCCACCCCTGTGCGCGCCGCAGGCAGTGGAGCCCACGTGGGAGCTGAGCAACTGCTGGGTGCACCAAGCGGTAAAATTGCTTTGCCGTCGCCGTCCCTAGGGAGTAGGTGACTTCAACTTGATCGGGGTATTCTGCTTTGGGGGAGGGGGGAGGGGGGGGGGTCCTGACTTGCGTGCAGACTTTTACATATCGGGCAGTTGTAGAGGCGCTACATGCGATGGCTGTTCGCTTAGGAATTGGCACCGCCGTGAGCTTGACTGTGATTGGAGTGATTGGAACGTGGTGCGCGTTGCCGGCTGGATTTGTTTGGAGGCATCAAACCCTGGGTCTCTCTCTCTCCTCTCTCTCTCCTCTCTCTGGCCGACCCGGACTAACATTATATCGGACTTGATGAGGAATAACGTACAACAGGACAAGTATCAACAGCAACACCCGTGATACCACCACCACCACCAACAACAACAACAACAACGCTTTTTTTCACACACGCACACACCCGGCTTCCCGCTCCCTCCGCCTCCCCGTGCTCTCTATATGTACCCCACCGGACAACACGCCCGTTGCTCATTACAAAACAACATTTGGTAACGTTGACAGCATATCCCGCAAGATGACACCGATGCTAGCCTGCTCGCCCAAGTCGCCGACACGAGGACGGAGAGCCGCAACAACAACAACACCTCGACAGGGGCCCCGCAGCAGCGTGGCAGGACTGGAGGACCAGCGGCGGCGGTGTCATCGTCGTTGCCGCTCATGGGCAGCAGCGGCAGCAGCAGCAGCAGCAGGGATAGCCAGCCCCGGGGGGGGGTACGGGCAGCGGCGGCGTCGCCCGTGCGATCAGAAGACGGGAATTTCGTGGACGGCGTTGGGGCTGGGTTGGGGGGGGGCGGGAGTAGGGGCGGAGATGGGGACGGAGCGAAACGGAGGATTAATTTGTCCGACCACCACGGGGTGAGCGGAACGGAGGATTCTAGTCGTGGTGCCGCCGCGACTGGGCTTGTTTCTCGCAGAGGGAGTCTTACGGCATATAATCGGTTGTTGTTTTGACTCGGACCATGGCGGCGTCAATGGAGATACATGTGTTGCTGTTTAAGTGTTTCTGTTTTGCGAAATGGATAGTCTTACAGTCGCCTTGGCGTGACCGATACACCATTTTTGTCGGCCCTAACAACAATGTGGTACACCCCCCCCCCTCCTCTGGTTCATCCTCGTCAATAAATGCCTGGGCCGGCGATAACCCGGCGTATCGCCCCGTCCCGGCATTGTAGGCATGCGAGGTCAACGGTCTAACGACTACGGCATGCGCGTACATGAGTAACCCCGACTGCCCCCCTTCAAAGAAAAGCAGTCACGGTGCCCTCGCGACCTAGGTATGCCTCTTCACCCCTCAATCTTGTTGCGCCTTGAACTCGCGCGTGTTTCTGCGCCCTGCTCCTAACGCTATCCCTGCTCCTTGCTGTGGCAGGTCGGCGCGGAGTTCACGGCTAGAGATCCCGAAGGCGACGACGACGACAATCATAGCTCGCTGGACGATGACGTCGACGGGATGCCCCCGCCACGGAGGGGCTTGCGGCACTCCCAATCCATCCCGGGAGGGACTTTCCCTCAGGTGCTGTTTTTGGTGGTCTTCGTAACGCCACCTTTAGTGGACGCTGCGGCATTAAAGCTGTGATCGTTTGTGTATGTTTTGCCAATGTGGCAGTGGTGTGTTGATCCGTCATGCCGCCGAAGACGTAATCCTCTTGTTGTTGTTGTTGTTGTTCTTGTTCTTGTTTGCGTTGTTTGGGGTGGCATGTGGCCCGAAGTGCTGCTCATCTCCCTGGGAAAGTGTATATACAGTATATACAGTGTATAGGCAAGGAAACGGAGGCATTGGACAGTGCAGGTGGTCGGGATGAAATTTTGAAGTTGTGATGAGAATGAAGCACCCAACGCTCCCCGCAGTCACGCTCCTGCTGTAAAACGCCCCATCGGGGGAACAAAATAACACAACTTCCTTCCTCTCTGTCTCGCCCTCTCTCGCTTTCCCTCCTGGCCTATCGGGGATGAACCACACAGGGGCCGCTGTTAGCGCGAGCGTTGACGGAAATCGACCGTGGGATAGAGGAGGCGTTGAACCGAAGGACTTCCCACCTGCGCACTGCTAAAGCCCTGGCAACGTTGTGGCTGGCGCTCTTGGCTGGGGGAGCCATGGCCAAATCGGACGGTTCAATGGGGTGAGAAAGACTCTCTCTCTTTCTCGCTTCGGTGGTGGGGGATAGGGAGGGTTTCCGTTTATGTTTTCATTCGCATTTTTTACCCAGGTGTGGAGAGGGGGGGTGGGGGGGGGGGTTCATGCGGGAAACCCGTGGGATCGATTTCCCACATAACGCCGGGGCGCGGTGCACGAAAGTTCGTTGCTGCAATCTTGCGGAACATGTATCGGTGTGGGGAAAGCTCCAACCAAACCTACCGCTTCATGATTTTATCTTGACAATGGGGAAGTGTCGGTAGCGGACCTTGTTTTGAAGCTTGTGTTTGTGCGCGCCGGACGCATCCTAAACACGCGGTCGGTCGGTGTTAGAATTCATTCATACCCTCTTCTGCTTGGAGTTCGGTGGTGTCGTAAGCAAGACTCTGCTCCTTGTACGTGACGGTAAAATATCTTCACCAAACCCAATCGCCGCGCAATACGCAGGTACATCGCGAGAGGAGCTGCTGGAGTGTTTGGGGGTGTCCTGTGTACAGCGGCGTCGGCGTTGTTCCTGTTGTACTGGTTCTCGGCTAAGGAGGAGGTTCAAGGACTTAAGGAGGTCTTCCAAACGTAAGTCAATTATCTTTCCGTCCTCTCCCTCTCTCTAGTCCCTACCTTTCCCTGTCGCTGCTCATCGTCGTTTGGTGGCGATGTAGACATTCCGGTCCATTCTAGCCTTGTGTGGCGTGCTTGTCTCTCCCGCCGGGCGGTTGGCACCCGTCTTGTTTTCGGAGTATTTCCATGTAGATATTTCCTAGATAATTCCATAGCCGAAGCCACCCGACCTACATGACAGCCTGTTTTTCGTCCCTCCCTCCCTCCCTCCGCAAGAAGGGGGCCCTACGGCGGTGCGCAGGATGGTTTTACGTGCGGAAGCAGCACAGAAACAGATGCCGTAGGTTGCATAAGATACCATACCCCCTGGAGCCCAATCACTCCACGACGCCGCAACCAACTGATGTGTTTTCGGGAAGCTCTTGACGAGACGGTCGCAACGCCTCCCGCCATTTTCGGCACTGTCACCGACGCTTTCGCTGCAGGCTTGTCGAGCTTTGAAAACCTGTCCGGGGGGTGGTTTTTGACGTGTGCAACGTACGGTAGCAATCGCGCGTTGCTCGCGTGCACTACTCCAGATGCATGCTCCCGTGCCCTGTTGCTTGGGGGAGTTTGTTGAGAGTTGGCAGCTGTTCGGCAAGGCGTTTCATCTTCGTGGACACGATTTGATTTAACATTTTACATGAGCGAGGGCAGGCTGTGTGTTTTTGTTTTAGGGGTAGAGTCGAGTAGTAGTTTTTTTATGTGAAGACAACAACGGTTGGGTAGCACCCGCTGTCATGTAATTGAAGGCCGGCGGTCGTGTTGAAGCGAACCGGACACACCAAGCTGGGTCTGGTCTGACAGCACGTAGCGTCACGGGTTTGACTGCTTCTGGGGATGTGCGGAGCGGTCTCTGTTTTTGGGGTGTCTCTTACAAACTCCGCGGTACGTCCCCTCCCATCCCTCCGTCCCTTTCCCTTTCTGCCCTTTCCCTCCCTCTCTCTCTCTCTCTCTCGCTCTCTGTCCCTGTGTGCGCCTCTCGGTCGCCGTGTCTCTCTCTCCCTGGTTGTGTATCTGTGTGTCTCTTTCTCGTGCCCCCTCTCTGCCTGCAACACTTCCGTGCCTGACCAAGCGCCACGAACTACGAGCGGCACCTCCCAATGGAGGAGGCTTTTCCAGACGGGGGGTTCGACACCTTGCAGTTATACAGCTACATGGAACAGAACTTCCGCTAGTGCATTGCTGTTCGAGCAGGACGGATAGCGCCGCGGAACGCGGTTCTATCTCTCATATTTCGCTACGCTGTTTGTATTACAGTTTTTGGCGCAGGTAACCTAGCTACACATTTTACGGGCATGTCGACGCGACAGCGATTTCAGTTACAGAGTTATGGGATTGGGGTGTGATAGAGTGATAGAAGAGTATCGATGAGCGAAGGGATGCATGGTCTGCATAGGTATTCGCCGTTTGTTTTACACGTATATAGGCTATACCGCTGTGTACGCGCGTGTACTCTTGGCCCGTTTCATCCCCCTTGGCTGTGGCAGAAAACGGCGATGGGTTCCATTCCACCCCACGTCTGGCGGCAGTTTTCTTCAACAGTCGACGTCGCTATGGAATGTAAGTGTAGAAGTAGTTTAATTTCTGTTCGTCCTAAGCTTGGAGCAGCATCAGACCTTGCTTCCGTGACAATACAAGCGTATTCGATAAACCAGAACACCAGAAAAGTAAGTCGAAGGTTCTACAACATTACTGTACCATGGTATGCTTTCGTGGGTCCCCCCCGCAACACTTATCCTGTTCCACAAACGTTCCGTGGAGTGTTTGTGGGGCGATTGACCCTGTATTCATTGGGTGATCATGCTGCTGTTTGCGGTGAAATCTATGGGTGTTCCATGTAAGTTTCGTGACGTTTTTTCTTGCCGCTGCCTTCCGCGCCTTGTTGGGGAGTCGACGGATAGCGCAAGTATGTTTTGTTGGGGGAGTACAAGTGGGGCTGCATCGTATAGCTGTTCGGGTGGTGGAAGGTACAGCGTCTTGGTCGTAAAGGTACAGGTTGCGGAGGATGTTTGATCTGGTTGTACACTCATGCCTCTTATGTTTTTACCCGCTCAATGTTTTTGCTGTGTGTATGGGATCCATCCACAAGTGTTTGGCTGGCGCTCCGCGACGGCCCAGAGGTAGCACGGTATCTTTCATGTGGTTACCGATGGCACATAAGAATGTGCGTGTTCCGTATGGCGATCGTTGCTGTCATGTTTTGTTTTTTTGGGTATGCGCTCAAGAGCTTCGTTTGGCGTTTCGCCGTACGGATAAGGATTGGATTGGTTTTGCATCCTTGTCTCGAAACGGGGGTGGCACTTTTCACTTTCCGGACCGATCTATTCCAAACACGTCCTCTCCGGCGACTGCTGTGTAGACCGTTCCTGTAGTCAGGAAAGATCCCCCAAATTGCAATTGGGGGGCAACTAGAGGCTGTTCCAGAAGGAAATTTGGGGTATGTATGCATGAGAGACTCTCCGAGACAAGCAAGCCTGGGGGTCGCGGGATGGGAACCGTCCCTCATACCCCCAACACTACATGGTTTTCATCCGATGGGCCCACGTGTTCTACAGCAGCTGCGTACGTTTTGGGTGGTCGGTTGTAGACACGACAGGCAGAGGTCAGTTCTACCCACGAAAAGGAGAAAACCGCTCGATTGAGTCTTTCCACGACACAGATTCAGGAGCGCGCGTCGATTCCCCACTTGCAAACTGGGGCCTCAGCCTGCACAAAAAATCAAGCACTACTGTGAAGGAATCTGCAAGCTACCGTCCGTATCTACAAGGTGTTTTGGTGGCTTACACGCCGCCGACTTGGCCGCACAACAGCAAAGGACTTTGGGGGTACAGACTCTCCCACGCTTATACCACGGAACGGAAAACAAGTACGATCCAACCTCCTTCCTGACTACGCCGTTATTGCTCGGGTGTGCACGAACGTGTCACCGCAAAGCCCGATCATATCTTGCATGGCTGAACGGAAACGATTCTAGGTGCCCCCCCCCCCCC